TTTGGGATACCCTGTGTACTCTCTTCTAATCTTGCGGCTGTGAATTAGTTTACAAACTTTCATAAATTTCACGACGTGACCTGAAGGAAAATTCCGTTTGTTTACTGGACCAGTCAATTATCTTATAATCTATACCAGAAAATAGACTTCTGAGAGGTACTGCTAGAGAGTTCAAGTTGGACATTTCCGTCTTCAGTAGAGGTATTGTGGAAGTATTAAACTCCCTCCTCCTTCTTGTAATGTGCGCAATTTATACGGACTCTTTAATTGTGTAAATAACAATATAGAGGATTTTCCACTTGCAACCTTAAAGGTCATCATTTATTATACTTTATTTACAGTTTAAACGAAGTACCATGTTTCTCAGCTAAACTATTTTATTGTATTTAATACTCCACAACATTTAACTCCTTAGTGTTCATGTTCATAAGCGTCGCCAGGAACGTATGACCTCTGAACTTTTGCGAAGAGTGATATTTGTGTCCAGTTATGTAAGTCTGGATTGTTCAAGTATTTATTGGGTTATTTTTAAAATTTACTGTATACAACGTATGTACCCTTGTATACCAAACTAAACACCATGTGCCTTTGAGGACGAGATGTACGTAACGAATATAATGACGAGGAGGGAACGCTGCAGAATGATTATTGCAGGTGTCTGAAGCGAATTTATTGCCTTTCTCTTTTTTTCCTTTTTATTATATAAAGCGTTATATTTATACTTTTTACTTTATTAAACAACAAATATAGTACACTACAAATGTTTGGGTTATAAGCCCCACTCGATTAAGGATAGAAGCATTCTCCAGTTATTATTAGTTGATAACTCGAAAAGTTATGAGAAACCCAAAGCTGTTCAACGCCGCCGTGAAAAGCGGTTTAAACTGTGCTTAGTTTTTTTAGTAATCTTGTCTTCCTTGTTTGGAAAATTCACTTGGCGCCGGCTCCTGAAGCCTGCTGGCCTAGGGAAATGTTGAAGGGGACTCTTGGCCATCGTGAAAGGGATTCAGTTCATCTTATTCTTCCTGCCGGCCCACCTAGGCGAGGCCACAATTCCTTTACAAACTATATCTAATCTAACTATTTATTTGCGTTCGCTGTAGTTAATACCTGAGCTTTGAGTATTTGTCACTGTTACTGCAGATGTTTGTTCTCAATAAAATATAACCTTTGAGTTAATTCAGTTTTTGTTGACTTGTCTTCACGTTTGTGTAAGACCGACAAGAAACTTTTTTGCGCTCGTTGTAACTGAAAATGAATTGATAAGCCAAAACGTTGGAAGATGGTAAATTCCTCCATCTCTGGGTATAAGTTGTTTTCTTTTATCCCCGGAATGAAAGGATCCATAATTTTAAATTTTGCTGTTACATCTTTTAAAACAACGTTTCGTGAGATCTCGGATGGTTTGAAGGCGATTCGCCCTTGTTAGGCCTGTCTCAAACGTCGTGCTACTGCCGTGCTAGGCTGGCTCGACTGAAGCTCGACTGCAGCACTACTTGGTTTCAGACGTCGAATTTATTTATTTATTTATTTAATTCAGTCGAGTAGAACGGCTGTTGGTGAAAACAAAACGCAAAAATAAAGAAACGGTTAACAAAACTTTAAAATGTATTCTAATGTTTTTATAATTTATGAATTGAGTTCGGCATATGACAGTAGCGCGACGTTTGAAACCAAGTCAAGCTACTGCCCTGTGGCACGGCAAAGCTTGTCGTGCAACATAGCAGTAGCACGACTTAGTTTCAAACGTCGCGCTACTGCCGTGCTAAAGGCGAATTTGATTCGATCAATTTATCGAAATTTAGTTCGGCACGGCAGTAGCACCACGTTTGAAGCGGGCCTTACATAGAGACATCAAGGAATAAACTAAAATAAAAGTTTGTGCACATTGCTTTTTAAAGCGATCCTATGAGCATCTAGTCTGCTACACAGCCGTTTTTAGTGTCGTCACGCAACGCTCCTCCCCACAAGGGGAGGAGCGTTGCGTGACGACACTAAAAACGGCTTTGTAGCAGACTAATGAGCATCGGCCATTAGCGAATGTAAATGCCTAAATTTTATTCCCGGGCTATTCCGGCGTAAAGTGCTAAATTTTGTTTGCTGTGAAATTTTTCTAAAGTCCGCCGTAACCGCTAAAACAAATCCGGGACTCAGAACCTCTATTCTTTTCAAGAGGATCTTGAATGATTGTTGACTTTATTTGCCTAACTTGTACAGAACATTTTTATATGAACCTGTTTCAAATTGTAGGCTAAACAGGTTCTTGTATATAGAAATGGCCTTACTGGCAAATTTTAGCCCAACAGGTTCTTAGTCGCGGTGTTTTACATATAACAGTCTTATTTTAGTCCAACTCATCAGGGGCACCCAACGAGGATATAGTTCAAAACCACTTAACATAGCATTGTTGAACGTATTTTAGTATTCAAACGGTAGATATAGGCATATTTTTATCCCCTAAAATCTTTTCATCTGTTCGGATTTCCTAGCTGAAAGTCTAGTGATCCGAAAATTATAGGGATAAAAACTTACCTTCTCGAAAATTTTAGCCAGGCAAAGGCTCCCGAAAATTCTAGGTGGCCTTTTTTTCGGTCAAAATCCGTTAAAAATGGGTAATTATACCATTTTGTGGATGTTTGAAAATCCTAGGAGAGGCAGGCAAGCAAGAAATTTTACAACAAATGCTCCGAAAATTCTAGATCTCAAATCGTCTTCCGAACAGATATTTTCCCGAAAATTGCCGTTGGGTGCCCCTGACTCATGAAAATCTCGTACTTTCATTTTGTTAATTTGTGAAAGACGTCTAGTACTGATGAGCCAAAGATGCATATATTACCACTTACGAAACCAACAAACAGAAGCCGGGAGGGATATGGGGTGTTGCCATGGATTATGCGGCTTCGCTAGTTAAACGTTTTAGTTTCCTTTCTATTTACGGTGGCGTGACGCTGTTTTCGATTTTTTTTGGTTGCTTTCCAAATGGATTTCCCTACACCAAGTTTTGACTGTATCTTGCGAAGATTCTCGCACTGCAAGACAACTTGTACTAATCTTCAGTTTTTCCGCCAGAAAGAAACGCCGTACGTCGGTTGGTTTAATGTTGTTCAAGTTTCGGTAAGTAAACATTCCTTGCCATCTGACTCTGGCCGGCGGCCGAAGGGAAAATTATACCACAATGAACTAACTATTTGTGTCAGGAACAAGGAAGAATATACCCCTAAAATCCTTCTCACATTTAGTTACAGCCTTAATAGCTAGCTTCAGCCGTTTTTTAATTACACGTGGTACAAAACTTGTGAGATGCAGACCGTTTTGCGCTGAACTTATATGGTGCGTTTCTAAAATTCAGGTTTACTTAATGGTTTAGCCTGTGCCAGGCTCTCAGATAGTATAGTGGGAACGTATTAAAACGAACAAAGCGAAAACAAGACGTGCACGACTTGTCTCTCCCCAGCCCCCGCGCGTTTGTTTGCATTTCTTATTACTGAACGACTTTCCACCACCATCTCGGAGCCTGGAACAGGCTATAAATGGTTAAGAGCCAATAGCACTAATTAAGCGACATCCACAGTCGGTCACAGTTGTGCGCCGATCAATTTGAGCTCCCAGGCATTTTCCATCACTGGTGCCAGGGAAGTGGGGAATTTGACCATTGCCTGGCTGGGTGGGGTGGGGAATTTCAACTTTATCTACGTCTGACAACCTCGCTCATTTTAAAGGTAAAGAAACAGCTTTTCTAAACGAATGGCTTGTCCGGCAAAGACTTCAAAAGCTACATGTTTGCATTTTTGAAGGTATAATGAATGGAAACGAGATCGAGTGTTCAATTTTTGTACTTCCTGATTGCCGATCAACAAGTGAAGTTTGAAAAACTTCATTACATGAGTCTATTTTTTGGAATTCACAATCAGCAAAACATGTACATTTCTTCTCTGAGTGAGACCTTAAGGGCCTGTTTACATGGAGGTGGGGGACCCCAGGTAGGTGAGGTAACCCGCTTTGGTGTGTAACTCGCCTGTCCACATAATCTCTCATTTTAACTTGATCACGTTTACATGATAGGTGGGGTGACTCGCCACATGTTACCTCACTTATCTGGGGTCCCCCACCTCCATGTAAACATTGGGCTGTCATGGAAATTTGAACGGGTTTGTTTTAAAAAGTTCAAATGTCCGGGGATCCCGGGGGGATGTGAAAGTTTGGAATTGAATTGATCAACGCATTGTAGTCGGCGCCGTCTCCATATTTCGTCGAATAATAGCCGTCCCTCAATTAATCGCCTGCCTCGAATAATCGCCCCCCTCCCTGTCAAGTTAAAGTGGAATCTGATTCAGCAAAACTTATCAATGACGATTCAAGTTCTGAAAATTAATCACTAGGAACCAACTTTGGAACACTTAAAAAGCCCATGTTCAGTTCATTTGATGTAATAATTTTTTTAATAAAACAAAGTATTTAGGGCACGACTTCCAGTGAGCAAAATTTGAAATAATCGCCCCCTTTTGATGCGAAAAAAGGAAGTAATCGCCTCCGGCTATTATTCGAGGAATAATTAAAATTGCCTGGAGCCCATCAAGCTGAAATTGCTCATTTGCCCGTTAATAGTTGTCATTTCGATATGGCAACAGTAAGAGTAATATTGGAAAGTTTTTGTCAACCGAAGCAAAAAATAAGGAATTATTCAACCTCGTCCCCAAGGCTTTTGGCTAAAAAAATGAGGTTGGGACTTATTAAGATAGGGATAGCCGTACCCTCCCCTGACAAAGGAAAAACGGAGAGAGGGAGCTCGGTTTTTTCTTTGTCGGGGGGAGGGTTCGACTTCACGTAGGCATTGTACTCAGCCCAAAACGCTAAGTAAGGGGGGTGGCGAATTATATAATTAAAGACAAAGTGCGAAATATTTTCAATTCAACATACACACCAGCGTGAAAGTGACCTTTCGAAGTGCAAGCCTTAAGGTTGTGAAACACTTTCTCGACTCTACTGGGGGAAAGTCGGCCCAGTGCTCTAGCGAGAAGAGGCGTTTCAAAATGGCTGACCATTTCAATTCTCCGGGAAAGAGCCGGAAAGCGAAGCTTGAGTAGTTTGCAATCTATGGAATAGTTTATTTTGATTCACCATGCAGAAACAACCCATACCACCAACCAGAAGACCCAAGCAGAGGATTGTAAGTTTTATTTGCTAGCATACCATTTTATGTGTGGTATCAAATGACGCTAAATATTTCGAGCCGGTTGGCTATAATGGTTGGTTTAAAGTCCTTTCTATGGTTAAACCAGAGTTTCCTTTGTCTACTGTGAATAATTAGAGCTAAAAAACAAAGGAAATTCTGAATCAAACTAGACTGAGTGCTGATTTAACCTGAGAGCGGATTTTACCTACAATGTTTCCATGATAAACAAATCATGCATGACTGCAGAGGAAGTGCCCAGCTCGCAGCTGTACTTGCCCAGCAGGAAAATCATTTGGAAAATCTTCTGGTCCCGGACAGCACATTATTAGGATCCCTGTAATCTTTTGTAGTTTTTCTCCCTGAAGCATGAAGGTGCTTATAGACATCCGCAGTTATTTTAGTGTACTTCTCGATGCATCTGGTCAACTAAATTTTATCTGCACTTCTTCTGTAACCATCTTCTGTTTAGACGATTTTCTTTAATATGATGTGTTAATAATGGTTATGTTGAATTTAGGGGTTTCTAAGGTTTGCTGTGAATTAAGTGAAAAAAATATAAGTTCTAGAATATGTTATGGCTACACTGTAGATGACTAGACCAGCGGCTGATTACTGCTGTGAGACAGTCACCTTGACCGTCAGTCTATTGTGACACAGCTTTATTGGAAAATGAATCATGTTCAGTCCACAGTGCCATTTTGGACGAATGAAAATAAAGTTCTACTGACTACTGCAGACTACTCCAACAGAGATTGATTCTTGTGGATAGACAAAAATGAGTTTTAAGTGCAAAGTGTACTTGATGATATCATTAGTAAAATAATAGGACATGTCGAAAAGGCTGCATTTGTTATGTATTCAATTGTAACTTCAATTTTCTGTGTAATGCACCTGCAGTCACTGTAAAATACTTGGGACAAATGTGCATTTAAAGTACTTTTTAGACCTCACATGCCATCTACTTCCCTCACCCCACATATAAGCCATAGGTCATGTGTACCCACTATTTTTCCACGCTGTCAACATTGTGTAGGGTGGGGGGAGGGGGAATTACAAGGCATTTATCTCTCCTTACAGGCTAATCTTTGCTGACGTCGTCGTTTGCATTTTTCCTCATTAGGGTATGACCTAGCTTGTAGAAGCCGTGGCCGTATATATGAACTAAATGCAAAAGTTGAAAGAGCTGATTAAGTTGAGCAATTTGTTCAATTCTCAGCTCTTTGCAAGCAATATTGAAGGAAATATCAGCCATCAAAAACTGCGAATTTGCTGTGTGACAAAAAAGTTAATGAGCTATACATTCTCTGTAAAATTTCAAGTTTTTAGAAGAGAATTTCTCTCAAACCATTTGGTGTATTGAGCTCAAATTTTCAGGTATAACTGAAACTGTTATGCCTTTCAATATTCAGAGTTTTTATTTTATTAGCATCATCATCATATACCGGTAGTGATAAGCATATGTTAATGAGGCAAAAAGTCTAAACAAAGATTCGCCTATAGCTTTGCTTTAAGAAGGCCTTCTTAAAGTTACAGGTAATTACAAATAGGGCATGACTGTCCCAAGGAACTTTTGTCCAGGATTGCAGGTCTCATATTTATCAGCAACTTCAATGCAAATGTTCACAGGCTTGAATAAAAAAATGCAGAGGAAAAAGTGTATGCTTTAACATAATATTATTATCTACTTTGAAGAACACTTGAAATCATTTTGTTTTGGACAGGAACATTGTGGTTGGCTTCGTAAGCTTGGTGGCCGATACAGAAACTTGAGATCAAGATGGTTTGAACTTAAAGGGGATCAGCTATATTACTTCAGAGATAATAATGTAAGTAAACACAAAACGATTTATTTCCTTGTATCATTACCTCACAAATCAACAGTGCAAAAAGGGAGGGCTGAATAATGGATTATCATAATTTTTATTTTATCAGCTTGAATATACTCACTTTGTCATGTACTTAAATCCTAATGAAGTATTGGTAGTTGTGTACATAGTAAATGTAACAATGTCATATCACTTAACACTTTTATTGTACACTATTGATGAATACTATGGGTAGAATGTTCATAGAGGGTCCACAAAATAATGTAGCCTGAGAAAACAGCCAACATTTTGCGATGCCACCACTGGTTTCCCGTGAAATGACGTCTGACAATCAAGTGCAGAAATTCCAAATTCCAATCCTGCCAAAATGTTTTCACAAGCTTCTTTGTTGAATATTGAACTACAGTCTACATAGTGGGCAGCTTCTCAACATTGCCACTAGTGTCTGTAAACTTTTTTTTTTGTTTTGCTTGGTTTTTTTCTATTTTGAAAATAAAAATTTTTTGCTTCCATATTCTAAGTGGAGCTAGAAAACAACAAATGAAATAGTACCAAGCCAAGAATAATTATGGAATAACTCGGTTGATGGTTTTGAAAGGAGACAGATTTGTAGAGAAAACGTCCAAGACATCATAGCTCAGTTAAGTCCAACCAAAACCTTTCAGTGTATACATGTTGTAGTTAATTTTTTATCGTAGGTAATTTTTCTTTTTCCTTTGTTTCAACTTCATTAGCATAGATTACCATACCCAAAAACAAAAGAAAAACAAAAATTACCTGAGATAAAAAATTACTGTGAAACTCGCAAAACTGTGAACACCAGAAATATTTATGGAATGTTATTGTGTTGTAAGAAATAAGCCAATAAGGCACGTGATAACTGCAAACAGCAATGGTAATTAGTTTGTGGTTTTGAGGTTTGTTCGTGTGTGCTGAACTTTATGGTGGTTGGCCAGTACACAATCAACATTCCTGAAATTTGTCAGGTGTTCACCGTTTTCTGAGTTTGACAGTAAATACAACATACACATTGTATTTCCCTCCTGGGGCAAAAACAGAGTTTCTATTAAAGGCAAAGTGATAAGATTGCTTACAACAAACTCTTCGAAAACACCATTTAAAGAGTGTCTTACGAACTTTGAATAATGCATCAGTGTATGCTGGTATTTTTTTTAGCCTGGGTGCCAGAGACTTTTCATGGGCAGTTATCAGTTTTGGTCAAGTCTTAAAAATAGTGAACTACGTTAAAATTCTTTCTTGTTCCCTGCTTGTGGCATTGGCCAGTGGTTGTGACGTCGAGGCATCATCCTTTTGCTTACAAGGAGAAAATCGGAAGTACCCAGGGTGATATCTAAAAGCATGTTGAAAAAAAGAGAGCAGGGCAAAATCTTAAAAAATCATGATGGAAAATTGGAGCCTGGTAGAAAATCAGCGTCTGCTGAAAACAATTTCTAAAACGCCTAGCTCTGCTCATATCTTGTGGAAGAGGTAAGTCTCTATTAAAGACATGCTTGTGAGAGCAAAAACATAACTTAAAGGCTTTGATAACTCGATACAACCAATTAAACATGATGTTGAAAGTCCTTGTACCCCTATTTGTGACTTCCTTTAAACTTCTTTTAAGGCAGTCACAAAAAACTGAATTCCTGAATCCCACTACTTTTCCCGTTGATTCCCACATCTCAACCCCATTAAAAAAAAAGAAATCCCACTCTCGCTCATTATTGAAATTCCCACTTCCCTGATCCCGCTTCTGTTTTTAGCACACATCCCGAGTATCACAACAAGAATCGCCAAATCCCCCATCCCGCTAGAGCTACTGAGGACCCTCCTTATTGTGGCCGACAAAAGGAGCGTGCCACCTACTCTTGGTCAGCAGCACTCGAGATTTTACCCAATTCTGTCCACATTCTTGGAATGCTTGTGTTGTACTGACTAATTTGCATGGTTTGTGGCCGCAAAGGCTTTGGTATTGAGTTTAAGGTTTGTCTGATGTCATGGTAACCATGTAAATGCACTTGCAAGTGATGCAACAGTCATTATAATACATTTGATTCGCAAGCACACATAATTCAGGTACACAAGGGAGACTGTTTGATTGGCCTTGCCGACCTGGAATCTATTTCCCCAGGAAAATGAAAGTAGGGCCTGATCTCAGCTTAGTGCAGGACAAGTTTTTGGTAAGATACGAGTGCTAGCCAAGTCTAGAAATCGATGTAAATTAAGTTTATTCAGGTTTCACTACAGTGAATGGTTTTTATATATTTGTATGTTTCCAAGCATGTTTCGTTGCTTGTCATCCGAAAGCTTCAATAAGCTTTAAACTCAAGTGGTAACTTAAGTTTTTTCATTATTTTCTATTGCATATCAATGGGCTTTGGTCATTTTTTTGGAGTAATTTATCAAGCATGAGATGTAGTGTTTCATCACCAGATGAAACAATGACAAGAGAGTTGAAAATATGACACCCAGGGGAATATTTTTGATGAGCTTCGAGGTGTTTCATCTGGTGATGAAACACTGTGTTGAATGCTTTATATTGCTTCTCAAACAAAAGGATTTTAGATGGAGAAATTAAGGATGCAAAAATGAGCAGTTTTTCATCTGATTTCCAAACACTCATTGAACATTAATTTCCTTTGTATTTTCTTTATGAATTATTAATGAATTATTAATGAACATGGATTGAATATTTTGTTGAATAATAAGACTTCGTGCAGTCATGACTGTATACATGTATACTTTTGTCATGCATAACTGTTTCAATATATCTTTGCAGGCAAATACACAGCCTCTTTTATCGCTCCTCACCATTCGCAGGCTAATAATTGTGCCTCAACTGTGAATAAAATCATGATCGTTGAAATAAATATGAGTCTTGTTTTCTGTGTTGTTCAATCCAGCTTTCATGATCTGAAGTGATTATTCCTTTTGTTGACACTGGAACTAAAATTCACCTACACGATTATGAAAGCGCTTTTCATCAGTCACATCTCCAAGTTATGACATCAACATGTTCGCACTTCCTAGCTAAAGGCTACTGCTAGTATGCTAATTAAATATTGAATGAACTGTAGTCTGGCTGGAACTGCGTAGCTGTTATTTTGTGCAAAATCTTAATTCTGTTCTTTCAATTCAGGAACCCAAGACACCCATTGCTGCCATTCCTTTGGCAGGAAATGAAGTTATTAGACATCCACCCGAGCCAGGAGAGCCTGGAAAATTCAAATTTGAAATCATTTGTGAGTAATTCATACAATGTACATAAAATACTGTTAGATTGAGATGATGGAAAAAAGTGCCAGTGTCAGTGTTAACCAGACTGATCTTTTTAAAATGTTTTATTTCAGCTGGGAAGGACAAGGAAGGGCGACCAGTTTCCAGCAGCCATGATACCTTTGTTCTAATTGCTTCTTCTCAACAGGAAATGGAAGAGTGGATACGGGCCATCAACAGAATCATTTATGCAGTAAGATGATGTATTTAACTTGATGAATTTTACCTCAACACATGAATGCTGGTAAAGAAAAGTTGTTTTTTTTATTGCAGCCGTTTGGTGGTGGAATGTTTGGTAGAAGTCTGGCTGAAACAGTAAAGTTTGAAACAAGACGTGGTGGAGGATATGTACCACTTATTGTTCACAAATGTGTGGACTTTATTAGAGCTCATGGTAAAAGTTTTCGTTTTTGTTGCTAGATACTTTAACTTATATTTCTTATATATTCTTATATTCTTTATACTTTATTTTTGTGCATTTCGCATACATGTATGTACTGCAATGGACTTTACATTGTTCAATATACAAATATAATGTTATTTTACAATGGAGGGGCATTAACCAGGATGAGCCGTAGTAAAAACTGTTTTGAATTGCAGTCTCTGACGGAAAAAATGAAATGAAATTGGGACAAAAAAAATTCTTAATAATGTAAAAAGGCATGATTACAAAAGAAGTGATTATGAATTCTTAATGAAAAAGATGTTATTTTGTCAAAGGAAGTGGGAGAGATTAACAGAAAACTGTTGTTTCCACATTGAATGATGGCAAAGTTCTTAGGCCTTCAAACTGTACGATATGAAGTTTATTAAATTGTCCCTGTGGTAAACACTCTAGCTCAGTTATTAATTTTTGAGTGCTACACAGCAAATTTAGTTTGTGATTGGAGGGACAAAGTTGTATATTGCGAATGACGCACCATGGACTATGAAATGCATACATTTAAGGTGGCCGAACACAGTTTTGCGGGCAGTCAGCGGTAACTGGCATGACGGCGCTTGTTTTAAATTAGAGGAACAAACATGGCAGCAAAAAAAGCAATGGAACACAGAAGACGATTTCTCAAAACCTACTCATTAAAATTTTGTGACATTTGGCAGAAATTTTACTTTTATCATATTTTAAATAATGAGAACTTTGAAATGGAAGTTGAACAAACGAATTTTGTGACACATTTAATAATTACGGTACAATTATATTATTGATTATGTAAAACCAGTCTGTTAAACTTTGGTCAAATAAATTTCAAATGGTAATGATTAATAACAGAAACTCATAAGGAGTTGAACAACCCCTTATGGGTTTCTGTTAATAATTAATCATACTATAATTATTATAGTAGGCTGTGTGCAACTAATGAGTGAATTTTAAGTAAACTGAGCAAAAGTGAAATTTTAAGGTTGTATTCAGTCGTTCATGTTGCCACAGAAACTACGAAAACGTCACATTTTACCTGTCAATCAAAATCTTTCATCAGTATATTTTTCACTTGGCAAGTTTCACTTGTGAGCTGCAACCTTTCTCTTGCTATGATTTGGCAAATGTCATATACTCACAAAGTGCCAAAACTGTGTTCAGCCACCTTAACGGTATGCAATTGCCACATTCAAGTAACCTTACAGTGAGCACATTAATACATTTTTTAATAGGCACTGACGTGAAGAAATTCCTTGTGTGAATTTCTTGTCACACAATGTTATCCAATGTACTTCTTTCATGATATATTCCGATCATCAGGTGCTGGTTGTTCAAAAGGTGGATAACACTGTTCACTAGATAAAATATATTTCCAGTGGAGACTGGAGAATGCAATTGGTTTTCCTAGTACTTACTGTCACCTGTTTAAAGCCCATTAATTTTTTATACAGCACTTCTGTAATGAGAGACTGGGGCAACAGTCCTCAACCTTTTTGCAAGAACAATGTATCTCTTTGACCAAGATAATGTTATGTTTTACTTTTAGGTTTAGTAGAGGAAGGATTATTTAGATTACCTGGACAGGCAAAAAATGTGGCAGACTTAAAAGATGCCTTTAATAGAGGTACTAACAAGCTAGACTTCTTAGTTAACAATTAAAAATTCGTCTTTGTTAGTTGAGTACCATAATTTCTGTAATAGATCTTCCGAAAATCTGAGGGCTTATTTTTTTCAGAGATTTTTTAGGTGGGGTGAGAGTTCTTACTGAAGAGGGGAGCTTCTTTAAAATTGTAGAGGGAAGGCTAGGGTTTGGTTTGTATTTCATACTAAAAATAACTGTGTAATAAAGGCAATCAATATCTTGTACTAAACCTCTGAGTTTTTGTTATCAGGAGATATTCCAGAACTTGGGGCCAATAAAGCTGAGGTTCACTCTGTGGCATCAGTGCTCAAGTCTTACCTTCGAGAACTTCCTGAACCACTTATTCCTTACGACTACTTTGAAGTGTTTCTTACTGCCGCTAGATGTAAGTCATACTGAACTGGTTGGTCTCACTGTAGTCGGCTGCGCCGTGCAGGCAGTACCCTGGGTGCCAGAGGCTTTTCATGCCCGGTTTCCGGTTTCGGTCAAGTCTTGAAAGTGACCCGCGCGACCGCCGCTTTGATTGACAGATTAGAGACAAGGCCAAGGTCCATCTAGCACGGTAAATCAAGGCGCTCTGCTTCGCCGCTCGTGTCTTCGGCCTTCGGCCGAACACGTGTCGGCCTGCGGCCGACGAAACGAAGCTCCCCGTCGCACGCGAGAAAAAACCTCTGGTACCCAGGGTATGCAGGCAGGCGTTTGAAAGGGAAATAAGGCCCATTAATTAAATGCCTGACACACAGACTGGCTGGACGAAGCCAAATTAAGTACAGGGGTTGAAAAGATGATATTGATAGTGATGGCGCCCGTACGATAGCAGAAACCTCGCAACCTCTGGAAAAAGGCTTATTTTAAGGCGCTGTAGATAAGTTTGGTTTTTCTAAAATCTAAAGTGGCTTAATGTGTCAGTTAAGGGGGCGTTACGGTCAAATGCCTTGTTCTTTGGATGTACATAAATCACGCCAATACAATATTATTTCCTTTATCGAAGTTTGGATGAATTTAAGAATGTTTCTAAAATGACGAAGAATGGAAAAGGTATTACAAACAGCTGTACAAATTTAGATGTGAAGTGAATAATCGCCTGACAAAGACCAGATGTGAATTGAAATATATGAAATTACTCATATTTTGAACTGCGGAGAAAGGTATTAAAGTGGAAATGATCCTTGCTCCAGTTGGCTTGAATAGCTTAATAGATAGAGCATTGCGTCCTGTCATCGCAAAGGTCGGGGTTCGATTCCCGGTCAAGCCTGAATTTTTTCAGGCTTTTTTTTTTAAACCACTTAAGTTGTTTAGTCAACTGCGAGGATCACTTCCACTTTCAAACACCAGATTGTCTGCCACCATAATAATAAGGTGCCCGTGGCGGACTGATTAGTTTATTTGTTCCTTTTTTTCTTGCATCACCAATTTACAGCGGCTCTATTTCCATAAAAAAATTAAACTATAATGACCCTTTACTGAGTACTAGTGCAAACCATTCGCGCACTTAAAAATCCCCTCAGGCGAGGAAGATGATGCGCGGAATAAAAGGAGAAAATGAGGGACATTCTGCGTGTCACTTTCCTTGCGGGAGGCGATTTTCACGCGTTCTCGCGGATTTTGCCTGCTGTCCCGGAGAAAATGAGGTTTACTACTCATAGTCTAACCAAAAGGCTGGAAAAAAAGGTTGGAATTAAGGTTGTACCAACAAAAACTCACCCGCTGTTATTTTTATAACCAGGTTATGAAATGTATGAAGAGGATGGTATTGTAGCAATCCAGAAACAAGTAACAACACTTCCTAAGCCTAATTACATTCTGCTCGGATATCTTTGGTATGCCGCTATGTCTTTCTTTAAGTTCTGACTTGATTTTTGAAGGTTATGTCGCATTTTTTCCTCTCGTGACAGGGTTCATACAGGTCATGGAAAACCTTGAAAGTCATGGAATTTAAGAATTTTATTTTCCAGGCCTGGAAAGTCGTGGAATTTAATTGTCGGTCCTTGAAAGTCATGGAAAATTAAAGTTTTGTTTGGTAGTTTAGTTTCTGCAGATCACAAAGCATGGACAATGTAAGATAGAGAGGAATAATTAAACAGCGCAAACGGCACGCATTTTGTTGGACCCCAGGGTTTGTCTGTTGAACATTTAATGGTCAAAAAATACCCCAAAACAAGGGAAATTTTGAAAATTTTTGGTTGTGACAACTAACCCTAAGGTCTTGGAAAACTTGAAAAGGTCATGAAAAAAATCATGGAAAAGAGTACGAACCCTGCGTGACCTATCCATAATGTTGATTTAGAGTAGAGAAGTGTATGGCAGGCTCCTCGTTACATTGATCGTTTCTTGTTTGTTGTTACAGCCGTTTTTTACACGAAGTACAGGAACACAGCAAAGAAAACAAGATGGGCGTTAGGAACCTTGCAACTGTGTTTGGTCCAAACATACTGCGCTCCGGAGTGAGTTAGTAGCTTTACTGGGATCTAGATCTGGTTTATTCCTCGGTGTTCAAAACGGTTACTTTCTGCTTGACCCTTGTCAGTTTTTCAACTGTATTCCAAAATGTTTCGTATTGTCATTGATTCTCCGAAGCATGAATGTAGATTGGGCGTTATATAATTCGTTACGATTGCGCAGATCACCAGGCCTCAAGAACTAATGACTGTTCACGAATCTAGAATCCAGTCCATTCACCTCCATCTATTCAGTAAGCGTGCTTAACATTTGTTAGTTTGATAAAGTTTTGAAGGCTGTGATAGACTTTAAACTTCAATCTAGGTAGGGTAACTCCTTGTTGATTCATATAGCAATTCAAAGTGGAAAGACTGCAAGTTGTAGTAGACTAGTTGCTAAAAAATATATCTGCATGTCGTAACTGTTCATCAGTAGGATGCCTAAAATGTGTGCAATTCCACAATTAGTTCCGGCTCCATTAAATCCTATACCAAAGTTTCTTTTAAAATACAGTATTGCATGGACAAAAATTGGGATAGAGTGAAGTGTTAGCCCCACAGTGGTGTTAATTTTATGGAGGTAAATGTAGGAGTTTTCTACCGTAAGGTTCATTTTGGAAACAAGAGAGCCGTCTGGAGTGAAAAGTTGTCAGTAATGAGAGGTTCGCCTGAGTGTTCTATAGTTGTGTCCAAACGAGCTGGTTCAACATAACCTGGACTGTTTTGCGTTTGTTTTGTAATTTCAGTCTGAGGATCCACAGGTTATGATGGAAAGTACAAACCTGGTAACAGAACTCATCAGCATTCTGATCAGAAAGCATGAGCTGTTTTTCTCCAAGGCTGACGATGAAGACGTTCAGTCATCTCGACTGCAGCAATTTGGGTGATTACCGTTGATTTTGCTTATTGAAAAGAAAAATTGTTGCGCTTACAGTCTCTGGTTGACAGGTATGTCTGTATTGTTCATTTGTAGCGGCGATCTGATGGACTTTGCTGAACCACCCGTGCGAATGCCTAGACCACAGCCAACAACACAGCTGAGTGATACCGAGCATGAAGAGGAGACTGGGACTGGAGGGGACGGTAATGATAAGTTCTATTTAACAGCAAGCCATGAGAAAGTGCGTGCCTGCCTAATATAAAGGAATGTTTTTTAGGCTTAGTCCAAACGTCGAACTTTTCATGAGACGAACTAAACTCTAATTTGGATGGACCTAAATTAACTTAAGATGGTGTGTTAAGTCAGACATTAAACTTATGACGTGTTGAACCAATCAACTGAATCAGACCAAAAAGCAACTTTAATGAATTTTCTCCCGAACGAGGCTAAATATTTATGATCATACAAACTTTTCAGTTATTAGTTTATTTCGTCGCATGTGGAGATCGACGTTTGTCCCGGAGACGATCTTCAGACGTTCTATAACTTTTCATGAACTTTGGTTCGTCTCATGAAAAGTTCGACTTTTGGCCTTGGCCTCAGCTCTTCGGCTCAAGCCATTTTAAATTATTTATGATTGTTCGCAAGTATAGATGGTTTTCACAGTGACGTCATCATATTGTAAAGTCAAAATAGTGAGGTTTTATGAATTCTTATTTACACTAGGTTGAAAATAAACAAAAAATTAATCTTTGTACAAGTTTCCAGTCCCGTAGCATGTTTCATTTCGAAATACAGCAATTTGAACTTCAGAGTTTTCACAGTGCGTGACACCAAAATAGCGGAAATGTTGTCTCGTTGAAAAAAAAGTCTCTCCTCTTTATTTTCAGCAGTATAACCATTTCAAGTATTAGAAGATCTGTTTATGTGCGCGTATGCCAGTTCTTGAGTGAAAAGAAAGAGTTTTTATATAAAAAGTGAACTCTAGATGTTTTTGTTGATTTCCGGCGGCCATATTGGTGCACCAAAACGGTGCACCAATATGGCGTCTCCATACAAAGCTCTACAAAGGTGCGTGAAACGTTTCGGCAAATAACTCAGAAACTGTGGGCCACAAAGACCTGAGACTTGGACAAAATGTTTACTTATTAGTCTTTTATAACATTTCATTTTCTTAGCTTCTTCCACTGGACGGTTTCCAATTTATTTTTTTTGTTGCGTGACAGTGAAAACGATCTATAGACGGATACGCAGAAGAACAAACAATCTGACATAAGTATCGAAAGTAAGGGTCATTGATAACATAAGTAAAACTGAATTGGATGAGGACCAGTATGACATAAGGGATTATTTCGATCGAGAGGAGGAGGGGGTGAGGGTGTTATTGGCGGAAAGTTCTGCCTAATTCTTAACAATATTTGATAAAGTATGGAAGGTTATTTAATATGTACTGATGTGGACCCATGCCGGCTATAGCAATACACAGCACAGCGGATAGATGTAGCCTTTCACCACGCCACCGGACTCTTAGTCCTCCCCGACTGAGGGTTAATTTAAAAGACTTTTAGAAAGTCTAACAATAACATCTCAGTTGATAAAGCCAAAACTGTTTGCTTAAAAAGTAATTCAGTGCTAAGTTTTAAGGATGTCAATAATTCAGGGTAACTTCATATTTGTTGCGACTATTTCGATTTAACAGATAGTGAGAAAGCGACAAATAAAAAGAATTCCGGGAAAAAATTAAAAGTGGATTTTTTCCCAGTTGGTGGACTTCTGCTGAGCGTTGTTTTCCTTTTTCTTTCCCTTTTTTTGTATTCCCTTTCAGGCGAAGATCCGCGAAGTGATATCCAAGAGTTGGAGAATGAATTAGAACTTCAACAACAACAAATCAAAGATCTTCAGTCAAAGCTAGAGCAGGAAAGAAAAGTCCGAGAAATGTTAGTACTACGTTTGACTGACGAACAAAGAGCAAGGTTAGTAAGTTGTAAATAATTGAAAAAGAATTAGAATGAGCCCAGATACTCTGAGTACAGTAAAGTAAAACTTAACTACATAACACTGTCGTGAGCCACCTTCACACCAGTTTTCCAGCTACATAAAATGTGAGGGTTTTCGTCCTTCTGCTCGTGTATAATGTCTGAGTGATACATCCATCGAGATCGCGCCTGGATCGAAGTCGAACAGGAAAATAAAACCCGAGCTATTCATAGTAGTATTTCGCCAACATTTTTCAGCAGTTTGGGTAGTGCTTCTGATTGGGTGAAGCAAATTTTCAACCAAACACTGAGAAGCACTCCTCAAATCTAGGTCGTGACACGTCATCAGAATGATACAAGTGGTAGCGTCGCTAGATGTCTGCTGTTTTTTTCAGGCTACAGGATTCGCATCCAGGACAGTCTTTACAACGCCAAAATTCAGCCTGAGAATAAGCCTGAGAAGTACTAGTATTGAAATGCTCCGGCAATAAATGCTTACTTGGACTGTACTGCCCAACGTGCAAGTGCGTGTTTCATTAGTAAACGTGACATCAGAGACTTATTTTAAGAGTTGCAAAACATTTTAGGCAAACAGCGGTCAGCGGAATGCTTCTTAAGACAAAGAATTAGAAACAATAAAAAATCCTTCAAACGAACGTGAAACTTGTAAAAGGTCAAAGTAGCGACTCAGACGTCATTTTGCGGTGAGTGTAGTTAGTGATTAGGACGTCACGTTGGTGAAAACAGATCCCAATAATAATTTGTTTGTCCTTTTTTTCTCCTTAGCTTTATGATTATATCTATACAAATACTTTAAAACTTGCGTGGTATAAATATTTTTAAATATTTATATAAGTGTTATCATCATTCGGATTTTGGAAAGGTTTCACGTTTCTACAGTTTGTGACTCGCAATTTTTGTTTCTGCAGGGAATCAGCAGAAGATCGATTAGAAAAGCTGCAAGCCGCTATGGAGGAGTTTTGTGCTAAATATGGAAGCTGGGAGCCAACTCAAAGATAAAAGATTTTTGGTATATAGTCGTAGAATATTTTAATACAATGCCAGCTTTCTTTGTGCAAAAGAAAGTTTTTAGAGGAAGACGTTGAAATTGCGCAAGAAATTGTCAGTTTTAATGCCAAATTAACAATATGCGCAGATATCACCAGGGTTAGAGTTCTTCTTACTAGGTCTGAAACGACCGCTCTTATTGACTAGATAGTGAGTTCAATTTTTACTATTGATCTGTTTAGAAACGTTTTGAAAAGTAGACACTTATTGCAGTAAGGATTGGTAAATCAAGTGCTGTAGAAGCACTGTTGTTGGTCACTTACGAACAAAACATGCTGCCTTCGAACGCAGTTTAGGGACTTGAAGAAAATCGCTACGGTGACCTCTACCACGGCGGTCATGGATGTGGAGTCCTGGGGAAAGTACGACACCGTAGGCTGCCAAATTTCAACTTAAAGAACAAGCGGCGTCCAAACAGTGAATACGGCGTTTCTCGCTCACTTGCTTTCGCTGTTAGTAAGTTGTTATGACCTCCTTTAGAGAATATGTTTTTTCTCTCTTATGACCAAGGATTAAGCAATGACGAGCAGTTTTGATGTTGTATGATTCGTACAAGCCCTAAAACTTAGATTTGCCGTACGTCGACTTGTACACAGCATTTGACCTGGGTTGAGGATAAGATTTTAAACTGAGAAACCAAGGAAGACGTAATTAGTGGAAAACCAGAAGCGTCAAATACTTTCTTGTTTAAGTGAAAAACAATCGATGATAGGTTTTAAAACCAGTGATTGTAAAACAAAACAAAAAAAAGGAAAAGTCGTCTGTTATACTCACTTAGTGGCGACGTTGTATTTGGCGCTATTTTATGGCGAAAGCTCATTTCCAAACATGCGTATTGCGTCATTTTTTTGACTCCCGGCCGCCGTAGCGATTTGCTAAGTCCCTATTGCCGAAGCTTGTTCGGTCAAGATGGGTGGATATTGGTTAAGTTATTTTTTGTGTTTTCATGGACGAGACTAACTCGAGATCAATAAAAACACAAAAAAGGAACGAGGCCAATACACAGCCATCTTGACCGAACAAACGTGGCCAATAAAGGACTTTTTCTTGCGTAGCCCGTGTACAGACGCCCCCTCCCCGAAAAAAATCTCTCCCCGATTTTTTTTGAGGTGGGGGGGCGTCTGTACTCAGGCTGTTTCTTGCTAGACCAATGCAGGAAATCCCGAGTGGGCAAGATGGGCGCATCTTGCCAATCAGAAGACAAGACTTACTTGATCTTGCAAGCAATATAAAAAAAGAACCGTACTTTCTTAAAGTCATGCGAGCGGATGTTCAAATGTGAATTCAAATACAACAAAAAAAGGCGAAATACTTTCAGAAGTGGTACACTTTGCTATGACCATTTACGTCAAAACCCTACCAAGAGTAGCCTCGCACGCATACGTTCTTAGGGCTTCGTCAGGCGTTCCTGCCCCAGGCTACCCAACCTGCGATCAGGCGCTTCTTTTTCCCTCGTGGTTTTGGCCGACTTTCGCGCTTTCTCCGGAAAAGAACGCCTGATCGTAGATTAGGGGATACCTAGTAAGTCAACCTAAGACCGAAATTTCCACAGCCATTTTTGTAGAAATAATTGTTAATTCAGTAGCAAAATGGTACAGCGGAATTTCTAACCTAATTTTCCATACATTTTCCTAATAATTTTTCGCATGTTATGTTGCTAATATAATAAAAAAGGCAACAAAGGGTATCTTGATGAAAATATAGCTGAATTTATGTTTTATATTGAAACTGATTTCAAACTAGAAAAGAATATATAGTTATTATTTGTATATCAATTTTTATTCTATGAGAGAGAAGGGAAGGAAAAAAAAAGACTGGTGTTTTACATTGTACCTATTTTTTGTGTTGGTCCTTCGTGAGATTTTTTGCCTACTTATGTTGTGTGGTTTGTAGATTCCATCACTCACCAATTGGGTACCAGCCTCCTTCTCCAACACGCACACACACCAAAATACAAATACAAACGTTGAAAACAGTTTAAAAGAATTTAATTGGCTTGTAACTTCTTTACAACTCGATTTCATTAATAACAACTATACATACAAGTTTGCATACATTCAACCTGCACGTAGTTCTTTTTTTAAAAATAACTTATGTACGGGGAATACAGCGTTGGAATTTATCGTAACGGTCTGAATACAACAACAAATGTACAGTTTTTTCCCCCTTTCTCATGTATGGATAAAAATACGTGTGTTTCACGTTTCCGCGATATATGAATTGTGCCTCGGATATAAAACAAAGCTGAACTGAAAAACATGTACAAGTATTCTAAGTATGTTCTAAATATAAGCTACAATAATGATTACACACTAACATTATATGACTTACAATAAACCATAGGCAAACCCTATGTTGACATAATTATAGTCTACATTGATATATTAATTGATGACTGAATTTTTTTTCTCCTGAATCATACGGACGGCAGATTGGAATCGTGACTGTTTCCTTGATAATAACCTGGAGGTGTATTCTATAAACAAATAAAAACAATAACGTAGGTTCAAAATGCCGCACAAATTAGACCAGAAACACCAATACACAGTACAGAAGGTAACTGTCTAATCAGCACAAAAATTGTACGTTCGTTTGAGCTTATTGTGGATTAATGAACTTGACCATTGTTTTGAACAGGTTATTACTAAGTTTTTCAATACCGTAAATCCGGTTAACACTTATTTTCATCCGCCCACTTGACCTTGACAGATTAATGATTCGTACACAAAGTAAGGGTTAGGGTTGTTACTATACATATTCAAATCAAACCGTTGATTGTCAGCAAATCCTCGGTGGTGTAGAGGGTAAAGTGATGCACTGTAGAGCCGATGCTCCGAAATCGAATTCTACTCGTGCCTTCCTGAATTTTTTTTCCCTTAACAATTGAACAGAAATTTCAAGAGACAGAGAAATTTCATGTAAGAAAAGTGAAATGTCTTGTGAGAGCCACTGAGAGGAAAATGTCAGTTTGGCGGATGGAAACAAGTGACGACCCGTAAATCCTCTATTAACCACTCCTCTCCCCGCTTTTCAGGGAAAGACAGTTATAAAGCCCCTCCCCCCCCCCCCCCCCCCCCCCCCCCCCTTCCTTATAAATCCTACCCCCACCCCCCAACAAATTTTTTTACTCGTGTGTTGAAAAAACATTTTTTTTTTTTTTATGTTTTACTTCCACTTATTTTTGTTTTGTGTTTTTTTTTTATGAAATGTTTTTGAAGACCCCACGGGGAGAAAATGTTTGTTTGGGGGGTTGAAAAAAGGGGCCCCCCGAAAACCCTTTTATCACCCCCCCCCCCCCCCGTTTTCAGGGAAAAACATTTAAAAACCCCCCCCCCCCCCCCCCCCCCCCTTATTCTTAAATAATACCGGATCAGTCCACGTAAAGTTTTACAGTCGTGGTTAATTAATACAAATTTTGCTTTTGAAAATTGGGCTACTACCATTATGTTTTTGGCACGAATTTTTTAGATTTGGTGTAAGTATTCAAATGTTTAGTTAGTCTATCGAACCCTTTTTTGTCAGTGATGAATTCCACTAGACCAAGGCGCACTATCTCCTCCAAGGGTACGCTGTTGAATACGATTAGGGCCAACACCGTCAGCTTGGAAAACAATTTTTACTGTAGAGCCCAGTGGCGCACTTTCAGAAAGACCTTTTTAATTACTACTTGTATCTCACGAAGTCTGTTTATGATGTCGACACCCCCAGACCTTAAAGAGTGTGTGTATTAAGTACCACACCAGTCGGCCATTGAACTGCTTGCTTGATCGTATGTGTTGTTGATTTTTTTATCGATGTCCTTCCCAATTCTGTTTTTGCATTTGCATTTCTTTTTTTTATCGTTTCTAAAGTGTTGTCATTCTGTTTAGTTGTATTACTAATTTTCCTTTTTTTTTCTGGAACTTGTAGTGGAGCTTGCTCTGTGAGTGATCCAAGCCTCTTGGCGAAGTTTATAAATAAATAAGTATATATATTATACATCTTATGGTTTATTCTAGACAGTTCACAGTCCCTTATTTTTTCGTAAGATCGCCAGGATCGAGAGACTTGACAGTGGCCCGTAACGCCAAGTCTTCGAAATAAGGGACAGGTCACTGAAATGGAACAACGAATCGGGCTGATTCCTTCGACCATCATAGATTCTGACGTCATAGATTCGTCCTCCCCAACCCCTGGGGGAGTGGGTACTGAGCAATAGCCGTAGTGGGTCTAAGGGGTTGAAACGTGTAACTCTCATATGTTTGCTTTGTCCGATGCTCGTGATTATTCATTTTCGAAAGTACCATATTTAGAACGAGAAGAAGAGATAACTGACCAATCAAACTTCGTAAACAACGTGACGTAATTTTCCTTCAGGTTCCCGCGCCCGCTTAAAAAAATGGCCGACAAACGGGGGAAAAACTCCCGAAAGCCGAGAAAGCTTTTAAAGGTTGAAACCAGGAATCTTACCGAAACACTGAGCAGGATATTATTGCCTTACCACCCGGGCCAAACGTAGCATTATGGAACCCACTGACGGCCTCGCAACTTCTTGAAGTTGTCACTTCAAAAACCGAGGCCTCGTTGACCCTATGCACAGTAAACTTATACTGCAAATAGGCTTTTGAAATTCTTATGTTAAAAGTCTGGAATAAATAGTGAAAAATATTTTCGAATAAAATTCATTAGCTGCGTATCGAAAAGTGTCCAAAACCTGAACCTCACATCTTCGCAAAAAGTGATGCTTGTAATGAATTTGAGAAGCATTTCAAAAGCTTAAATTAAACTTGGATGTTGTAGTCAAAACAATAGACAGAGAAGCCGTTTCTTGAAAATTTTTATTCGAAGTCCAAAAAGTTAATCCCTTAAAGCAATTCGGAAAACACTATCTGGACCGTGGATCCGTTCGAGCAAGTGAAATCGGCTAAGCACATGGCAAAATTTAACACAAAATCCATCTCACATCAGGGCACATTTTGTAATTTTTCTTTGGTTCTAAAGAGAAAAATTTATAAAACGTCTATAAAACATTTAAAAATACATAAATTCCCTTTCAAAAACGTAATTGTCTTGGTCATAGAGTGCAAAATGTACCCGAAAAACATCACTGCCTTGGTTGCATTTCAAAACAGACCATGCCCTCCGTCGTGAAGAGAAGATTGAATTCCTCGAAGGACGATTTCTTGATGAAAAGCTTCCCTTCCTCCACAAAAAGAAAGCTGAGCATTCTTTTGATCTTTCCCTTCCCACTTTTTGTCTTTTAACGATGTATTTTAAACCTTGAAATGCAGAACTTGTCTTAAAAACATCTGCATGGTGATCGCGCGGCAGCCATTTTGTTGAAAATGGATATCTGTCACTAAGGTTTGCAAATATGGTAAAAGTGAATATTCACGAGCATTGAACGCGAGTTACACTTTTCAACCCCTTATGAGTTTCTAATCTATTCAATAGACCTTATTTACGACACTCGCCATATTTGCACGCGCTTTAAGAACGTTAGGATTAAAGCTATGTCACGTGGTATTTCACGAGGCAAAAAAGTGATAAAATTTGCCGATACGAGTAATAGCGGCCGAGTCCGATTATTCTATCAAAACGAGACGACGATTTCATAATCATGCAAAATGTACATATCGAGTTTTGGCAGGATTTACGTCATTACTGATTGCCATGAGGACATCGACGGTCGCTACTGCATAAAAAAAAGGAACAATGATCACTTTCACCCATATTTTGACATTATCGTGTTTAAGACGAAAAGGTATTCATTTCCTGTTGTCTAGTATAGACAAACTCGACCGCGATTTCTTCCAATGGCAATTTTTTTTCACTTGTTTGCTCCCTGAGAAACCACGTGACATTGTTTTATCCCATCAGTCTTTAAGCGGGTGCTAAGATGGCGGGTATCGTGAATAAGGTGTATTACTACGTTACCTGTCTTTGTGACGACGTGCCGTTCTGAAATGGAGTTAGGTTTGTAATGTGGGGCATCATCGATATAGAAGTTTTGGTGACGCTTTTGGAGCTCTTCCCTGTCTTGACGCTGTTCTTAGCTGCAAATACAGCAAAAAAAATACTTAATTTGAAGAAAGGTAAAATAGTTTCGATCATTGCGATTGCTACTGCAGTTGTACCGCTTCGTCACCATCTGGGTCAACTTCAACATATGAGATATTGAGTAATCGTCAGTGACATGGGCAACAGTACTCGGAAGAAGAATTAGAGAGTTCTAAACTTCCTTTAATATTCCACAACCTTTACCATACATATGAAAAAGTTCTGACACCCCACACTATGTAAGTCTTTTTTGTACCTGTAAAAGCCCCTACATTGCTTCTAAATTCAAACCGCTTTATACGGACACCCGTTAATGTGAAAAACACTGACTCCGTACTCATTTTTGTTGTCGCTGATTATTGTTGTTGTTGTTATTATTAATGGAAATTAAAGTTGTTCGTCTTATCCTGGTGTGTTCCTTGCTCTTCAGCATGACGGTTTTGTACCAAATGAATGACAAGCTACAGACTGAGCATCTGCTAGCTGCCAATGGCCCATTCAGTCAGTATGGAGTAAACTCAGAACTTCTCTCAATGTGTCCAACATTTGACCTCTAGCAGTTGGTCATTTTGGAAAAGTACCACTTAAAACTGAATACTTGTTATAATCAAAGTGGCGTTTCACTTTGCTGTTGTGATATTGCACTGTACCTTCTGCTCCTGGTACATCGGGTAAATGTGGAAACTCGTTCTCTCCTCCTCCTCCTCCTCTCCCTCTTTCTCGTTCCTTTTCCTTGTCTTTATCTCTCTTCTTTTTGTAGTTTGACTCTAATGATGACCTCTCACTATGCCTGCTACCAAGGTCAAAATTGCTTGAAGTTCTCTGATCGTAATAAGATTCGCCCGTGGGATAAAGAGACGTACTGTGGTGATTTGGAGGAGGGCCACTAGTTTTTTTCGAGTAAGATGGAGGCGTTTTCTTTACTTTACTCTCATTTACGACCCTGAAAACAAGAACGCCGGAATACTAGTTTCATTTGCATGTGACTTAACCTCAGAGGGTACTGGACGCCGTTCGCTTGGTGATAAACAAGAATGATTTGTAAACAAATGAAGCTACAGGTGCGACAAACTTTTTATATAAATTGCTTAGAAGGTACTACTATCTACAGGTAGTTTTAAAGCTTTAACACTGAAAAATCTATTTAACAGTCAGTGCATGCTTTTTGGGCAGAGGCCAAAATAACCCAACTTTTAATTTTCAACAACTAAAACAAAGGAGATAACCAAAAGCGATGTTATGAACGATATTTTGTCAAGGAAAACAAACCAACTGCAACACAAATATTGCTCAATCGAAACAGCTTCGGTCATATTTAAAAATATATAACAAAAACAAAAAAGGACATGGCATTACATAATCAGTGCAGCTAGCAGGGTAAGAATGGGATACTGTGTTTTAGGCGGAAGGGCTACCGCGCGTAGCTAGCGGCAAAGCCACGAGGAATTCCATTCTTCTCGCGGCTTTACAGCCTAAGTAAAGGCAACAAAAGCACCCGTGGAATAAAGCAGTCATACGCGATGAATCCCGCCAGCTGAACAGGCTGGACGTTGAACTGTTGAGTGATGTTATGGGGCCAGGAGATGAACCGATTTCTTGCTCCGTTACATAGTACGATGACTGAACTTTCACGCAGACAGACTGGGAGAAGGGTCAAATATTAGCATACTGTAGTTTCATTACCTGAATGGAGGTGGTCCTGGCGGTGACTCATGCCGAGGTCCAACCACACCTAATCCAATGTTTGTCTTTGATAAACTCATAGCATGTGAACTAGTTCCTTTAGTAGACAATCCCTGTGATGTAGGGACAGAACCTTTTGATAATACTGTACCAGGGGGTTCTTGAGTGGGCGAGTTTCTAAGGGTACTGGCACTTTGTATAGGGGACAACTGTTTCCCGTGGGCGTGTCCAGTGACAAACGTATCGTGCTGGGCTGCCTGTGTTGTAGACGGGCCTGTGGTGCCGTATAACGTTGTGGGTATATTGGAAGTGGAAGCCCCTACAGTTGCATGAGGTTCATGAGGAGGTGAATTAGCTGTTGATGCAGCTGCCGTTACCTCTTGTGCTGACACAGACGATGTTGAAGGTAACAAAGGAACTTTTTTACTCGGTTTGTCTTGACTTGTACTCTCTTTATATTCTTTGGGGTCTTTGTGCTTTTTTGGTTCTCTTAACACTTCCTTCGTCTCCGATTTCTTAGACTCTCTCTCACGTTGCTCTTTACTCTCACGATGTTCCTGAATAAAGAAGAAAGTTTTTCTAGTTTTAGTGATCACTGTACAGTTTCCCCCTCCCCTCAATCCCGATCTCTTATGACTGCAAATTAAGAAACTCCTGAGTGAATCAGACTAAGATTTTGGGAAACTGCCTACTTACACTAGCCCCTCCCCGAACCCAACATTTTCAATTACGTGACAAGTTAGTGTTAACTTTGGGTCAAGGGTAGCCTACCATCATGCCCTCTCCCTTTGTCTCTATAATCTGTTTTCGAGAGGAGGTCGTTTTTTTTCCCTCTCGAGCCAAAGAAGCCAAGAAGCAAAAAAAATAATAACGCCTGATCTCAGGTTAGGTGAAGGGAGGTGTGGGTGGATAGTTTCCTAAAATCTTATTCACATCCAGATCAACAATCCTAACACAGATCAGGTACAATGTCACAATCTTGCAGGATATAAATACACACTGTCAAGAGTTCAATTTTTCTTGATACCGTAGATTTGCCAATAAGGTACATTATAATAACTTTTCTTTTATAAAATGGATC